TAATATGCTCATACTGGGACATTATTAAGTATCACATACTCCAATCAAGTCTAGGTCGCGCCTAAACTTGCTATCTGATCATTAAACAAAGTGACACTACCATCAAGTTCTTCACACACAACACCAATCATCTTATCTGCATTTAAACTCCCCAGTTCCTACAAATCACTGTCCTTGCAACTGACAAGTAGTATGTAACTAGATTCTCATACTTCTATGGTCGTATAATATGTCTTCTCCCCTTACTTGTTGCAATACTATACGATTATTATTGATCAGGTACGTCATCACCTTCTTAATTAAGATCCTGCACTTCATTTCCTAGGGTATTGGACTGAACTTTTAACTTTTCTTGTTCTCCAACGCTGTGATCTGATTCTGCTATTGTCTTCCTCTTCTGATTATCTAATGAAGTAAACTCATTAAATATCGCATCTCTGCTAATAATTAACCTTGAAGATTTAAGATCATTACACCACAACCTACCCTTTTACTCTAGATGTATATCCCAAAAATATGAATTTCTTTGCCTTGGGCTCAAACTTACTAGCTCTAACATGAACATAAGCAAGACAATCAAACGCTCTCAACTAAGAGTAATTAGTAGGTGACCCAAACCATACCTCAAAATGAGTTTTACCCTTAATAGCTGTGGATGAAGATCTATTAAACAAGAAACTAGCAGTATTCATAGTCTTAGGCTAAAATTCATAGTCTTGTCCAAAACTTGAATTAGATAACATGCTTCATGCCCCATCACAAAGTGTCATATTCATGCATTTTACGATATTATTCTGTTGTGATGTCCCAACACAAGTGCGGTGTCTCACTATTCCTTCCGTACTGCAGAAATCATCAAACACATAATTGTAAAATTTCAACCCATTTTCAATACTAAGACACTTAATCTTTCTCTCTGTTTATTTTCAATCATGGTCCTCCATATGAAAAATGTTGAAAATGCATCTTCTTTGGATTTCAAAAAATACAACCAAACCTTTTGAGAGTAATCATCAATTAACATCATGAAATACCTTACACTGCTTTTAGAGAGAATTATGTATGGACCCCATAAGTCAAGATGAATATAATCCAACTTACCTCTGGCCTTATGCATTATCTTTTTGTCGAACTTTACTCTGGTCTACTTGTCAAACACACAATGTTCACAGAAACCCTTAACTCTTTTATACTTATTTAACAAACTCTGTTTGTTCAAAAAAGATAACAATTTTTCACTCATATAACCCAAACATAGATGTTACAACTGATTATGATTACTGCTCTCTGATGCTGCAGTAACTTCCCTTGAAACTATTCTCCCCTGAAGAACATATAATCTAGATTTCAAACTGCATTTCATGAGTACCTTGAAGCCTTTACACACTTTACGGATATCATTCTTTGTATGATATTTATAACATTGAGATGTCAATGTAGAAAAAGAAATTAGATTCCTCTTCATCTGATGAACATGCCAATACCCAATTGTTCTAATGACACCATCAAATATTTTTAATATGATATTACCAATCTCAACTACATATAATAAATTGTCATCTCCCACATATATTGTACTACTCATCTACTTATAAATAATAAACCAATGTCTATATGGACACATGTGGAATATAGCACTAAAATAAAGAATCCATAAATTTTTTCTATGATCTAAATTCATAGATATACTATCCCAACACCACTATCACTATCATTAGAATTATCCCTATTGATTATATTAGTAGAAGTCTCCTGTTGTTTTCCTCTCTTCAGCCTAGGACAATCTCTTCTAAAATGACTATGCTCCCTACACTCAAAATAGTTTTCCTTTTTACCTCTAGATTAATATGCTCCTTGATGTGAGTATGGACATGGGTCAAGTTGGTGGAGAGGACATTTCAATACCAAGTGGGCACATTATAAGGGGGAGAGCTAAAAGATTACAACAAGTTTTCTAACTTTTTATCTAAGCGTGGATTAATGAGAAAGATGAGATTGAACCTATTAAAGAAATCCAAAAAAAGATGACAATATGGCCATTAACCCAAAGGTATAATAGTATATTATATTCATTTCAAGCGCAAGAGAGAAATAAACAAGAAAAGAAAAAAATTCTGCAAGACATGAAAAGAAAATATTCTCATGGAATTTTATTTCCTAATCATATGGAAAATCTTAACAATTAAAGATTAGCCAATAGGGAAAATTGCTCCTAAATTGCAAGTTATTTTTTTTAAAAAAAGAAAAACTCCTTAAATGCCAAATATCACGGGAAAAAAATACTTAAGAAAGAGAAAACTATTTTGGCAGAATCTCTTCCCCTAAATCAGCCACAATTAATTTAGATATTCCCAATTTAAAAATTTTTCTCATAGGAAAATCATATCTATGTTATTTTAGTTGTAATTTTCTTAATTCTTGCTAATTTTCCATTATAGTCTAAATTTAATTTCCTATGTAATTTCTACCATTAATTAGGAGATTAATTTTTCTTTATTATTCGCATGGCCTACATTATAAATAAGCATTCAATTTAGAGTTGTAATTCAATTCAGAATATTCAGCTTATTAATAAAATTAAGGTATTTTTGTTTTAAGCTTTCAAGCTTGCAAGAGCGAATGAGTAAATGAGTTTTCGACCGACTTGTTTTACCAGGAATTGGGATCACTTATTAAGGTAAGTCTCGTGGCATCTACCTTGGTTTTCACTCCCTTGTTGAGTGCGGGTCAAGTAGGGAAGGTTTGCTTAAAGTTTTGGGTTTATGATTGTTAATGTATATGTAGGGTTTTAGATTTTATTGTTGATCCTGGGTTTCACATCAGTTGGTATCAGAGCATACGCTTCGGTAAATTTATTATGTTTGTTATTTACTATTTACATTTATTTCTTATATAAAATTAGCATCATTACATAAAGTGCTAATTCATTTAGTTTGTTTCCAATAATTTTTTTACCATGTTATTATAATTAAAAAAAAAGAGATATTTTGAAAAAAAAAAAAAACAAAATGTGTGAAAAAAAATAGAGAGCAAAAAAAAAAGGGAGAGAGGTGTGTAACTCCTTGTTTTTTTTTTCAATATTACATTCAATATTCTGCATTAGCACCTACATCACAAAAACTCAAGTGAGTCATAGAGCGCAGCTGTCATTGGGATAGAATAATTAGGTATAACATTTCAGTTATATCCATAGGGATTAATCGGATCCTTGACGCTTTAAGTCCATAATTATTTTTTTCTATTCCTAATTTCATTCTTTCTTAAGTGATTTAGTTCCATTGTACATCTAAGTGGTTAATTACATCCTAACTACTTAGTTATAAGCATAAACACATCACATATTCTTTTTATGTGTGCTTACGTCTGAAATTTTAAAGAATAAGATTCTTTTTTAGGATTCTTTGCAGAGTCTTAAAAGACAATCTTACTCGTCTTGATTCAAGAGATCCAATTCCAACACTCAACTTGACAGGAGAAGATAGGAGAGGTAAACACGAGTGATTGAGAGGGATTGATTTTTTTTTTCATTGACATCTTTTGCAGATATGTCACAGCTTAGTGAAACCAACCGACCTATGACCTTCGAAGAATGCATGGAGGCTAGGATTCATGATATGTACAATAGATTGAGCTTAGCCATTTAAGGTATATCAACAAGAATGGATGAGAGAGATGGAGGAAGGAATCGTAGTCATCCCAGATGCCGACATCACTAGGATGATGATGAGACACATGACGACAATAGTAAAGTCGATACAAGAGAAATATGGAGAGAAGATAATGACATCAGATCCATCAAGATACAGATACCCCTGTTCAGAGGAAGGAATGATGCAGAGACGTATCTCGGGTGAGAACGAAAGCTAGAGTTGATTTTTGACTGCCACAACTATAGTTAAGCCAAGAAAGTAAAGTTAGTAACTGTCGAGTTCATAGATTATGCACTTATTTGCTAGGATCAAGTGACTGCTCTTAGGAGAAGAGATGGAGACCAATCTGTATTCATTTGGAGAGAGATGAAGTCTATTATGAGAAAGAGATTTGTCCCATCTTATTATGACAGAGAATTGCACCAAAACCTCCAAAGATTGACCTAGGGATCTCTCTCAGAGGAAGATTAGCACAAGGAGATGGAGATGGAAATGATCAGGGCCAGAGTTTATGAGAGCCCAGATGCCACCATGGCTAGATTTCTAAGTGGTCTGAACAGTGAGATTGCCAATGCTATGGAACTGCATCACTATATAGATCTAGATGAAATTGTACACATGACTATGAAGATTGAGAAAAATCTAAAGTATAGAAGTTCCTCCAGAAGTAATTCTCAATCTACCCTTCAGTTTAGTTTCACATGGCCTAAAATATAAGAAAGAAAGAAAGAAACTTGAAGAAAGGAAGGATAAATCTGTGACATCCCAAGTGCTAATTAAGGCAAATAGGTATCAAATACAGATTCAGAATAACGAGTGCATGATAAAATTTATGCAGCGAAATTAAATCATAACAAATTCCTCACAAATATATATAAGTTCCAAATACATACATAAACTGATGC